GTCATTTATCCTTTGTAAAGTGACTCCTTGTTCAATGTCCTTTCAGACTATTATTACTATTATTATGGCCATGGTAGCATTACTCGGATTTACAAAGTAGGTCCATTTTATCGTTTATAGATAAAGAAGAAAGAAATGTCTCGTGTATGATTATTTCTAATGATGGTGAAGGACTTTTCAGATAGTCTAGTATACTACGTGGATGAGGTAATAAACTGTATCATTTAGTCCAATGAAATGACGAATTCGTGAATGGGCAGGTTATGGCTCTGGTCACGGAAACGCTACCGAGGGCGCTGAAGAAGGACCTGTATGAAATCGTCGCCCTGCGCACGCACATCCAATACAGCGACAGGTGAGCCGCGGCAGCCGTGTGTTTCTATGATCATATATATATATATATATATATATATATATATATATATATATATATATATATACGCCTTCATACACACAATATGATGTTTTTCAGGAGTTCTCTGCAAGAGATTCGTCGCGGGCGTTACGAGGAGTTGGACAGAGAAGAATTCAAGGTTAGTCATTTATCCTTTGTAAAGTGACTCCTTGTTCAATGTCCTTTCAGACTATTATTACTATTATTATGGCCATGGTATCATTACTCGGATTTACAAAGTAGGTCCATTTTATCGTTTATAGATAAAGAAGAAAGAAATGTCTCGTGTATGATTATTTCTAATGATGGTGAAGGACTTTTCAGATAGTCTAGTATACTACGTGGATGAGGTAATAAACTGTATCATTTAGTCCAATGAAATGACGAATTCGTGAATGGGCAGGTTATGGCTCTGGTCACGGAAACGCTACCGAGGGCGCTGAAGAAGGACCTGTATGAAATCGTCGCCCTGCGCACGCACATCCAATACAGCGACAGGTGAGCCGCGGCAGCCGTGTGTTTCTATGATCATACATATATATATATATAAATGAAGAGAATCACATTTTTATACACATACACACACATGTATACTCATATAAACGCACATAACACAGTTTATATACATATATACACATATACATTTATATATATATTTATTTATTTATTTATATGTATATACGTGTGTGCGTATGTATGTATGCATGTGTGTGTGTGTGTGTGAATATATGTATACACTTACACAGTTATTCATTTGTTGACTCATAATGCTTTTCCCAATATCCTTCTTGGCTAAAGGGACTACATTGAGAAAATCTGCCAATTCCTACCCCAACCGCGGCCGGTTCCGGTGCAGGACGCCCCCCCTTTGAACGCCGCCAGCATCCGGTTGCATCTGGATCGCTTTGATGAAATGCGGGGAGGACACAGTAAGTGAAAGGAGAATGAGTAAGTGTTGACATTCAGCCCAAGACGTATATATGCCAATGGCCACCTATCATACCCTCTATCTGTCGCCATTGCAGGGAACCAGAGTACGTGTGAGGTAGTGCACATTCATCGCGATAATGAGAGGTGTGTCATCGACCAGTACACCGCGTCTCCAAAAGGTTAGTTTCTCAAGACGGTGTTGAAGTGAAGCATTCTTGCATACTGTTGCATTGTTCTGTACCTTGCGTTCTTGAATACTTTACGGCAGGAGGGGATTTAACTAGCTTTAATTTATATAGAAGTACAAATACAATTAGAGATTGTGGGTATAAGCTAAGTGATTCATATTCGTACACTATATATCAAATTCCCAAGCATGATAGTTCATTTTACATATTATAGTATTACATATTATTTTGTATAAATATATATATATATATATATATATATATATATATATATATATATATATATATATATACATTTTTTTTTTTTTTTTTTTTTTTTTTTTACAGGAGCGAAGCTGTCGACCTGGTCACAGATGTCCAAAGAGGATCGGACTCAGATGCTTTCAAAGTAAAGACGTTTTGCAGACCTACGTTGTGTTGTTTATTGACATATTGTTTACTATTACTGCGCTTTTATTCATTGAGTGCTATAGAAAGTTCACGTCTTAATAATGTTTTCAACAGATACACGAAGAGCCTAAATGTGCCGATGGAAAGCTCCGCAGAAACAATGAGTCTAAACTACGTGTTACTGGATCAGGAAAACGGTCAGTTTATAGCCAGTTAAACAAAACGTTATACTTTAAAGTACCAGTATTTTATTAATATATCGTTGAATTTATTTTATTTTATTTATTTACTGTTGGATCAAAATATTTTACTGAAGAATCGGCTGATGTTCTTTATTTTTCTTTTCACATTTTTTCCAGACGGTATCGAGGATGAAGAATTGTTCGAGTTCGACACTTCCTCCAGGTTCTTCATCACAAGGACTTCCTGTCGGTTTTGAGAGGGAGAGCGGGAGAGCGAGGGAGAGGGAGAGAAAGCAAGAGAGTGAATGGGAGTTAGAGTGAGTGAGAGAGAGAGAGAGAGAGAGAGAGAGAGGGAGAGAGAGCAGAAGATCGAGAGAATAATAGAGCAAGAAAAGAGAACAAGAGAGCGAAAGAGAGAGGCAGAGATAAATAGAGATAGAAATATACAGGGTATATGTATATATAGAGAGAGAGATCAATAGAGCAAGATGGAGAGAGAGAGATCAAGAGAGTAAGAGAGCAAAAAAGAGAGAGAGAGCAAGAGAGAACGAGAGAGAGCAAGAGAAAAAGGGAGAGCGAGAGGGCAAGAGAGAGAAAGAGTGCAAGATAAAGAGAGAGGGGGGGAAGAGCAAGGAGGGAGAGAACAAGAGAGAAAGGGAACTAGAGAGAAAGAGCGAAAGAGAGACATATTGCATATATATCTACTTGTATGCCTGTGCATCTAGAATAGCATACATTTAATGATGCTATCAAATTATACCTTTGCCTGTAACCTATTGGTTTGTCTATCTGTATGTCTCTGTCTGTCGATGCATTATCACATACATGCATGGAGAGAAAGAGAGAGAGACGGAGAGCAAGAGAGATCGATAGAGAGAGAAATAGAGAGCAAGATAGAGATGTGTATGTATATGTACCTGTTAGTGTGAAATTTAATGATATGGTAATGGCCTTTTTATTACTCCATTGTGATAACTGGCCACAGGGTAAGAGTCCATGTTAAAATATGTAGCAATGGTGGTGTTGCTCATGACATATATAAGTAAGAATGATTTTATGTTAATAAAATAATGATGTGATACAATGGACCGCGTTCATTGCAACACATGTATAAAAGGTAAGAATGAGAATGAATGTCTTCACAATACAAAAGATCTATTTGACTGGTTTCGTTTTTTTTTTCGTTTTTCGTTAGAAATACATATATATAATATTCTCCTAAGCTTTTTCCTATAAAACCTCTTCCAGATGACTTGTTGCCGTCAGAATCTGCACATTATAAATTTCATTGTCTAGGAACTTTTTCGAAGTCCTTAGACGCTATAGAAAAAAAGATCAGAAAGGAGAACAGGAATACCGCAATTGCAAAGAAACTCACACAGTGCTTTCCCTCAACGCTCCTCCTCAAATAAATTGCCACGTATTTTTAAAGTATTCCAAAATGATTTTTCGATTTTGCCACTAATAATACTGATAATAACGATAATACAGTCTATAGAATAAGTACAGTTAGTCGTTGCAGTAATTATATAATATGACGGAAATACGTACTAACTATAAGTTTAATCATTGAAATAGAATGGAGAGATCTGCTTCTAATAATAATAAACCTCATTTTGATGCTTATGTGTAAAGCCGCCCATTCACTATTTACACCGACCACAGACCTTTAGTGTAAGTGTTTAAATAGGTCACTAAATCGATCCATATATCAGAAGCAAACTGCAGTTTGGTTAGTCACTCACTTTCAATATTTTTCATCTGAGTATCAGTAAAGAGTCATCGCGTTGATATATGAGTATCATGATATACCGTAATATTTATTACTCCAACAAGTTCTTGCTATTTATGATATTCATCGAATGATTAGTCTTTGCATTATATTGCAGACCAGTTACCTGCCTCTGACATCGGCTGTACCCCTCTCTTGCACCTGACTACATGGCTTGTCCCCAGCATTTTGTGATGTAGATTTATTCTTGATTACTCACCCATTTTATGATATATGTGTTTGTGCATGTGCATGCGAGTGTGTATGTGTGTGTGTGTGTGTGTGTGTGTGTGTGTGTGTGTGTGTGTGTGTGTGTGTGTGTGTGTGTGTGTGTATGTGTGTGTGTGTGTGTGTTAATAGAACCGCAGCAACAATGATAATAATATTGATATTGATAATGATGATGACAGTTTTATTATCAAAATTACATTAGCGATAACACTAGTAACGGCAGCTAAGACTACACTGATAGCGAAAGCCATAAACTGCCTTGTAAAAACAACTGCTTTAGAAGCAACAACACAATAATCATGTGTAATCTCTTCCACCCCCACTTCTAAATAAAGCTAAGAGAGAGGAAGGGAGAGTATCTAATCCTAAAAGTAACATATCTGAAATATCTGAAACATATCTATTTATGATATTCATCGAATGATTAGTCTTTGCATAATATTGCAGACCAGTTACCTGACTCTGACATCGGCTGTACCCCTCTCTTGCACCTGACTACATGGCTTGTCCCCAGCATTTTGTGATGTAGATTTATTCTTGATTACTCACCCATTTTATGATATATGTGTTTGTGCATGTGCGTGCGAGTGTGTATGTGTGTGTGTGTGCATGTGTGTGTGTGTGTGTGTGTGTGTGTGTGTGTGTGTGTGTGTGTGTGTGTGTGTGTGTGCGTGTGTGAGGAAGGGAGAGTATCTAATTATAAATGTAACATATCTGAAAACTACGATTTTTTTTTATTTCATGAACATTATACAACCTCTTTCATCACTTGTAAACATTCCATCCTTTATTTTTAACATGGCAATGAATTTTGTGTTCCCTGCTGCTTTTTCTCACGATTTTCTAAAATAGAGAGATTTATAAACTAGATATCCACACTCTCATTTCGTATATTTTCGAATTCAGTATCGTCCATTCAGTTCTATTCAATATAGGATACTTTAACGTTCATCTATATGGCGCTATTCCGGGGTCGGTTAGTTGTCCTTCATGTTGTTTGTCGGTGATTATATATGCGTAAATGATATGAGGTTCGCATATATATATATATATATATATATATATATATATATATATATATATATATATATATATATACATATACATACATGCATATACATGCATATATATACATACATATATATATATATATATATATATATATATATATATATATATATATATATATATACATATATATGTATATAATATATATATATATATATATATATATATATATATATATATATATATATATATTATATATATATATATATATATATATATATATATATATATATATATATATATATATATGACAAAAAGTCAGTTATTTATGATACTGTTCATTACGGACGAGTCAAACACCGCGAGCTTATTTTCTTCCCCGCTATATATATTAAAAAATTTCATTGTCACTGTACTAAAAACCTCCACTTGATTTTAATGGCCTCTTACCGCTTTCCTGAGAGTTTGGGTAGATGTCTTCCTTCAGACAAACCAACTTTACCTTATCCCAAATCTCTTCTGGAGTAAAAGCCTCAATTGAGATTGCCGAGGAACGAATTCGGACAAATAAAGATATCTGAATAAGTTTCGGTACCATTTTCTATATTCTGAATAACAGTGATCTCTTACAGAATGTTATTTTTGGCTTCTTGTTTAGTGTGTATTTTTAAAGAGAAAGGATTTGAAAAACAAAAAGTGTTTCAAGATTTTTATTGACACCTCAGTGGTTTATTTTTTTAGCCTTACAAATGTAAGTCTTGTTAGAATATTAGATGGTATTTTTTCATGGTTTTGTACAGGCCCTTTTTTATGGTACATTACTCACCGATAGATGTAAATAAAACAAAATGCATTACACAATTCCCATTTCGAAACACTAATTACGGTAATACACATCCTGATTTTTTCCGAGCCTCCTATAATTCACTGTTTACGATAACGTTAATTCTCATAAATTGTCAACTACGTGTCTGACCAAATCAACTAATGTCAGTACAGATTTCCGCATTGAATTTTCAAAGGTATTCTGCACATAATTCAACTTTCAAAAGTATTATACGCTAATGAATAAAGGATTATTGACTGTAGTGCTCCAGCAAATTTAGAGAAATGCTTTAAACATTAGTTGATGCACATATTACATCAGAATGGTAAGAACTTGATTTTGACAATAAAATATAATCTGAAGATTATAGAGATTCTAACAATATCAAATCACAGGATTTTTTTCAGCCATGGTATATTAACACACCCTAGATTAGTGTTAAGAACCTTCTGTGTCTCATATACCTCTTCGAACTTTTTATCATTCTTCCCAATACATTTAAAGACCGCTTATAACTGTAAAAAAATACAAATAAACATGATTCTTATTTATCATTAACAGGCCCTTCATTTTGTATACAGAATGACTCCAATATATCAAAATAAGTAATCACTTAAAGGGGAATGCATAAAGATAGATAAAGTAGGAAAACATATTCTAAGTGAAAACTCAATCGGCCGAATTTAGATACTAATCGTTCAAGAGATTTATTTCTGAGTCTGTAACATGAGAGCCAAACCACATTTATCCCCGTAAGTCGATTCATTTCCAGCATAGAAAACCTCACACCAGGTTACAAACAATATGTTACAAAAAACAAATCAGAAATCACATCAAGTTATAAGCAAGCAAGTGCCTCAACTTACAACATACTTGTGTTTTTATTTTTTTTCCTTGAAGCAAACACAAAAGAGCCTTGAGGTGCCGATTCCGTGAAGCTGCCCTGGTCATAGATCACGTTGCCACGGAGGACGGTTTTGTGAACTTTCCCCTTCAAGGTTTTCCCAATGTAAGGCGAGATCTGTTTGCGAGATCGTGTTGACATTTTTACAGATATTCATTTTGGTTATTTTGAAATAAGGAAATATATACACTGAAAGTTGTAGATGATGACAAAGTTGAAGGTAATGATAAACAAAAAAAAGATTAATAGCAGTGATGATAATTGCTGTAACAGAATTCTTACCTTATTTTTATGGTGAATCATTGATTCGAGGACCTAAAGAAAAGAAAGAAATGTTTCATAGTAGGCCTACTAATACGATTAATCTTATCTCGAGAACAACACAATGGGAACAGATGGTACACAACAGCTTGAGATGCATCAGATCTGAATACCAACTAATGCATGGTAATTTGAACACCAAACAAGTTTCTGAGGGTAATACCTTATATAATTTCAGTAAGCATAAAATGATATACCTCGATGCATTTATGGATTTACAGTAAGTCTATTCCTTCATGGATATGTTGTCACTATATACAAAACTATACTTCAGAACTAAACTACTAAATATGCAAATAGAAAACCTAATACCTACACCAAAACCACAACAAGATCAATATCCAATCTCTCATTTATTTCTAATGATAAATAAATTAAGTATGACTAGAAAAAATACAAGAAAAAAAACCTACGGTGAACGTCTCAGATGGATCCCAGATAACGAAGTCCGCATCATAGCCTTCCTTGAGAGCTCCTTTCTTGTCACTGAGAGAAGCTTGAGAAGCTGGCCCGACGGAGAGGAGCTTCACGACGTCTTGGAGAGTGAAGCCCCGCCTGCTTGCCTCCGTCCAGAACACGGACAGACCTGGTTGAAGGGTTATGAAACTATTGGATAGCTTTCGAGGGGGGAGGGTAAGTATCTGAAACAATCTTGAATTGTTTTTGGAAAGATCTCGATTTTTAAAGAGTGTATTTGAAGTTTCTCACATCCACAGTATGTTTATTATTATTATTATTGTTATTACTATTATCATTATTATTATTGTTATTACTATTATCATTATTATTATTGTTATTACTATTATCATTATTATTATTATTATTACTATTATTATTATTATTATTATTATTATTACCTTTGGCATGATATTGAATAGTTTATATTTTTACTAGCCTTTTTATATAGAATCAGACATTATCAGGGCATCTATATCTTACACTGGGTCTTGTTGAAAGAGATTAGGACATTAATGAAAAAAATATCCTGTTTTGAAGTGTACCGAAGTGTAATAAAGCATCCACCAAAAAGTTAATACACAATGTCCCATACTTTCGCTATTGCATTTTCAAACGGTGAAAATAAAGACCATACCGAACTGCACAGAAGCAATGCCACCCCAGGCTTCCATGAAATTCATCTCTCCAGGAAGTTTCAGGTCTGGAGTGCAAGGAGAATGATCACTTACTACCTGCTGGATAGTGCCGTCTCTTACTGCGTCCCATAACTGCTCCTGTGTGGCAGGACGCTGACTATTAGACGAACAGTAAAAAGTTTTATTTTATGTTGAGCTTGATAGCATTATGTATTTACATACATGCACTCACACCTATATGCATATATATGTATGTATATATAGATAGATAGATAGATATGTGTGTGTGTATGTGTGTAAAAATATTAATATAATATATATAGATATATAAATATATATACATATATATGTATGTAAACATATAATATATGTATAATATATATATACATATTTACATATATATATACAATATGAAGTTTATATTTACCTGAAATGTGTATGGCTATGCAGGTTTTATTACTCTGGTCACACTAGCAAAGGCACATAGAAAGCACAAAAAATACATACATAGCAACAACCGTTCGCCCACACATCAACAGACGCGCACACACATACACACAGGCACTAACAACACAAATACACACAAGCAACCAAACCCAAGGCTAAATGCACAAGTACACACCCATCCTTTTCCCCTTTCTACAACCTCCCCTTCTGTCCATCACACACGCTCGCCCACCCAAGCCCACCCGAGCCTACCCAAGTCCATCGAAGCCCACCCATGACCACCCGAGCCCATCCAAGCCCACCCAAGCCCACGCAAGCCCAAGCAAGCCCACCCAAGACCACCCGAGCCCATCCAAGCCCACCCAACCCCATCCAACCCCACCCAAGCCCAAGCAAGCCCAAGCAAGCCCACCCAAGACCACCCGAGCCCACCCAACCCCACCCAAGCCCAAGCAAGCCCACCCAAGACCACCCGAGCCCATCCAAGCCCACCCAAGCCCACCCAACCCCACCCAAGCCCAAGCAAGCCCAAGCAAGCCCACCCAAGACCACCCGAGCCCACCCAAGCCCACCCGAGCCCACCCAACCCCACCCAAGCCCAAGCAAGCCCACCCGAGCCCACCCAAGACCACCCGAGCCCACCCAACCCCACCCAACCCCACCCAACCCCAAGCAAGCCCACCCGAGCCCACCCGAGCCCATCCAACCCCACCCAAGCCCAAGCAAACCCACCCAAGACCACCCGAGCCCATCCAAGCCCACCCATGCCCAAGCAAGCCCACGCAAACCCACCCAAGCCCACGCAAGCCCACCCAAGCCCACTCACCTGATTATCCCCCTCCCTGATGGGCGGGCAACACTTAAACTGCGTGGCATTATCAGGGATATCGTCAGCTTTGAGAGTGAGATAATGATGACATGTCTCGACACTCAAGGGGACGCCACGACTCTGGGCAGACCGTATCATGGGCAACGCTCTGCCGGCCGATAAGTGGACGATGTGGCACCGGACCTGTAGCGGGGTGGAAATGGGGGGAAAGGGGGGGGAGGGTAAGTGGTTTTGATTACGGCAATTTGTTTATGTGTTCATTTTACTGATTTGATTTGTCGGCCTATCTGTGGGTCTGTCCGTTTGTCTCTATCTCCATTAATTTCTCTATTCATCTATCTACCTGTCTTGCTATCTATCTGTCTGTGTGTTGTCTATCTGTGTATCTATCTGTTAAGCTCTTTCTCTCTATATATATATATTTATTTATATGTATACGTATATATCTTTCATCTACCATTCTATCTATCTTTATTTTGTTTATGTTTCTTCTTTCTTTAATAACTGCAAGTACCGCACTGCTTTTAAAATCAAAGACCATCATTACTATTTTTTATACAAAGGATTTGTTATTTTCCTTGCTATTGCAAGTATAAACGACTATTACAAAAAAGTGACGAATTAAATTCAATATATATTATCTAGCATTTACAGTTTTGGAAAGTAAATCCCTGTTATTTAATTAAAACATTAAATGAAACGCAAATTCCCGTTATTTAAAAATACTTTTTTTGCACATTCTCTACATACCTTTGTTTTTTCACAGAGACTTATAACCTGTTCTATTGCAACTTCCTCCATCCTCTGCGGCCGAGACTTCAAAAATGTACTGTACTTTTCAGATGGATCTATTGAGAAAAGACATGTAAAAAAACGGTTCCTTCTTGTTAGCGGAAACATTAATGTATTTTGGTATGTTTATGACAAGATTGCGCATTAAGAATTTACTTTTTTTTCTTTTTGTGTTCGGTTTATCGGCTTTTTTAAAGTTGGTACTAACCTAAATCAGTCACAGATGGCCCGATGTCACACTCAGCATGGAACTGTTGATAAAATAAATATCAGATAATGCGGATTCGTTCGAAATTTTAATAGTTTTTAAACCTTGCATCATTTTACGAAGCTGATCTCAAGATTTGTTTTGAGTCAACCGATTACCATATTCAATTTTCATATGTTCAGTCTTCTACATCATATATATATATATATATATATATATATATATATATATATATATATATATAAACGTAGATATACATCAATACCAGTTTAATAAAAGTTTAAATACGATTATTAAATAATCTTGTATTCGTATATGTGTGTTAAATTTATTTGTTTAAAAAATCCTCTTCAAAACCTTTCTCATTTCAATAGAGGTCATATTGTGCACAAACCAGTAAAACAGAAGAAGTATCCGATAGCTGTGTGAGAGCCTCTTCCACCTGCGCATAATCCACACTCGGGAACTCATCCACTCCGCTGTGGATGAGAAAGCACTTGAATCCACATATGCCGCTGTCGACCATTTTGCGCAGCTCGGAAGCGTTTCCTGGCGTGAAGTCGGGGCGAAGTTTGCTTTTTTATATTTTGGGTGTTGGCATGATAGCCGAGCGAATGGAAAATGTTTTAAAAGATATGTGTCTCTTTGCTGATTCCGTTTTCTCCAAAGAACATAAGGATAAGTCCGATATGCGAAGCTGAGCCTCGCCCGGGCACATGCTCATGCACACACATACACACAGACATCCTGTATCCTTACCGGGCACAACTCCGCCCCAAAACCCGACGTCGACCCAGCACTGCCCTTTCGCCGCTTCCATCTTCTCGGTCCACGCGGCCATGCTCGTGGTTGGCGGGATCGAATTCCTGAAACGTTTAATCAAGTGTCTCGTTCTCGTAGACTTTTCAGATCCGGATGAATGTAAATAGTATAATGAGTATTGCATGAATTATTTTATTACTGTTTCTATTTTTTTTTTTATCTATTCTTTATTGTTATTTTATATTCGGGTGGTCTCCCATGTGATCAAAAGGCAAGACGATAAAATCTCCGCCATCTCTTATAATTCCACCATTAAGGCCTTTTCATATACACTTTTAAACGTTGCTAACTTTCCCATTGCAAATTCCTCACAAATGACGAAAATGTTCCTCATGGGAACGTAAAATTTCTCTAGGATTCTGTTGCAAAGTCAAAATTAAGACAAAGACCTCCTCATATTATTTTTGTCATCTTCTAAATATAAATGTGCTAACCAGAATTATCTAGTCTATATTTCAGCTGTAACTATGATAGAATCTTGAAGAGTTTTACTATATACAGAAGGCTAAATTCAGTGTTTTATATTTTAACATCCATGCGTCTGTTTGTATAAGTAAGTGTGAATTAATATATTCAAAAAAAATACACACAATGTTCTGTTTTTTACGTACTGAACGTTTCCTTCAAACAAATCTCTTTAGCTAATAGAAGGAATAATTATAAATATGTAGCCGATCACGCTACAGTTAAACCATATGATCATAATCAAATCTATCTGCCTATAGAGCATAATACAATATAGAATATAGCCTATAGAGTATAGTACATTATAGAAACATTACGACTTGGTAGACAAATATCCTGGAACAAAACAGCGCGCCATAACTCACAGGGGCATGTCAACGATGGTCGTGATGCCGCCCGCCGCCGCCGCCCGCGTGGCCGACGAGTAACCCTCCCACGCCGTCCGACCGGGCTCGTTCACGTGAACGTGCGAGTCCACGACCCCCGCCATCAGGACCAGGTCTCCGCACCGGGTAATCTGCAGGAGTAACGGAAGCGTTAACGCACAAACACGCAATGCACACCCGCACGCACACGCATACACACACAAGCACACGCACACACACAAAAATACATGCACACATACACACGCTCATACACATACAAACATACGCGCGCACACGCGCACACACAAACACAAAAACACACACATACACACTCACACATGTATATGTGTATGTGATCCATATATATGTTGTATATATACAAATATATAAACAGGTATATATATGTATATATGTATACATATATATATACATATATGTACACTCGCTAAAAAAGTATCTTTGATATGGCTAGGCCTCGTATCATGGCAATATTAGCAATGGACACCTCACAGACCATTCGTGACGTCATGGCTATGCTTTACTCTGAGGGACTATCAAGAGCCGAAGGATCAAGATTATTTCGAAGCCAACCGTGTTCCTGTGGATCCAGCGACACTAGGCAACAGGATCCACTAGAGACAAGGGCAGACGTGGGAGTCCCTTAGTGCGAGTAATTTCTTAAGTATTTCTTTTCAGAGTCCAGGGGGGTCAACTGCCCCCCTAGCCCACTCCCCCCAATGATGCCCCTAGCAGGGATACCAATACCAGGTTGAGCTCACCGCACTTTTTCCAACTACTTCCGTCGTATCATATTGTGAAGTCCGAAAAAGTAGACATTTTTTAAACCCAATGCCACCGGGGGAAATGAATAAAAATGGGGAAAATGCTGTGCTCATTTTTATTTTTGTGAAAGTCTCTGCACATAGGTGGCTCTGCTAGTGCTTAACCACAGAGGAATCAATTAGTAGACCTTGTGACCTTACGTGATTTATATTGGCGGGGAAAACGTATTTTTTACTACGCTATGAATACCGATGGTGTTATTTTTATTATAAACATTATATTTACTAAATAAGATAACGTAAAATATTTTTGTAAATCAAAGAAAAGGGTAAACGAGCGAGGCAGGCAGTACTCGTAACTGGCTCATTGGTGACAACTTAGTACAAGTATTGCCATCTGTCTAAAAACAATCAAACAAGTACTCACGGTGGGCATAACATGCCCGTCGGCATTCGGTTAAGTGTAACCATATCTTTGGCAGGCAATCCAACATTACACAAACTAGATTTATTAAAAATGACATACACACACACACTCATATAAATGTGTGTGTGTGTATATGTATATATATATATATATATATATATATATATATATATACATATATATATATACATATATATATATACCCTCTTTGATAAGGCTTGAACTTCTGCCGTTATAGGTCATGCTGATTTAGTATTGCTCATTCTGGGTCATACCTGGAGTGGCAGAGATTCGAGCCATTGTTCAGGGTTTTTATTTATCTATATCAGTGCTATATTGTGTCATTCGACTTTATATATAAACATACATATATATGTGTCTTTATATATATATATATATATATATATATATATGATAAAAAATGCAACCTAATGGAACACATCAACGCTTAGAAAGGAATATTGCATTTAATTGCATTCCTCTCTCGACATGCTGTTTCACTTCACAAATATTCCAATTCGTTTACCTGGTCATCTGAATAGGCGGACACGTCGGCGGTGTGGCGGTTGATGCGCTGAATCCTTCCGTCTTTCACTTCTATGACGGCTTGGCAGGTCTCATCCGGGAAAACCACAGCGTTACTCGTAAACACTTGCACAGCAGCCATCTTAACTACTTCTTGGGAAGGATGAATAAACGAGAATAAGAAGAAAAGGTACTGGCGTTGGGTACTGAAGATGCAAATGAGCAACGAAGGGAAGAACAAGAAAAGCGAATATACCGAAGGCCTTTTCGCTGTATTGCTTCTTCTTGCGTCGAACAATCAATAAAGCGAAAAGGCCTTCGTTATGTTAGTGTTTTCTTGTTCTGCAATTTTTTCAACATGAATTCCACAGGTACTGCAAGTAGTCGCACTTTCTTTCATGGACAGTGATTCATAATATATCACAGGTGATTAAAACAAAATTCTAGTTATCAAGACATGAGCAAACAACAATAAATATTGTTTGTTTGGATAATGGATTTCATCAGTCAATAATTATCATTTAATGGTTAATGAAAATAAATACAAATATTCACCGCTTTGTTCCACAGTTCTCTCTCTCTCTTTCTCTCTCTCTCTCTCTCTCTCTCTCTCTCTCTCTCTCTCTCTCTCTCTCTCTCTCTCTCTCGCTCGCTCGCTCGCTCTCTTCTCTCTCTCTCTCTCTCACTCGCTCTCTCTCTCGCTCTCTCTTCTCTCTCTCTCTCTCTCTCTCTCTCTCTCTCTCTCTCTCTCTCTCTCTCTCTCTCCTCTCTCTCTCTCTCTCTCTCTCTCTCTCTCTCTC